CTTTAGAGATAACCGGGGTTCTAGAGAAATTCCAAATGTGAAATGCATCTTGCTACAATTCTCGCATTACGCCTATTCTTTACAAAATGTATGGTACGAACAAAGCTTACAGCGTCCTCATATAAATATTGTTGAGGAGTCTCAAGCTGGTGAAACTGGATCAAATGTATAAATAATCCAAGTAGCATCACACATTTGAGGCAAATATTAGCCACCAAATTTGAAACTTCTATGCGGATCCGCTTTTCTGGTTCCTTGGACTGATCCATAATAATATTTGCCCTGATCAGTACCCTGATCTTTTAGGATTTTGAAGAACGATTTCCTTACGAGCACGTGGTCGATTTCGATTGTCTTCCGATACTGCTGAAGGTTACCTTCTGAGTGTCATTTTGAGAACCCCTCTCCTTCTTCGAATTTGGCTCCTTCATAAGCCCCGTTCTGTTCCCGTTCGTTTATTGCCAGCATGGCTGGTCAAATCACCTGGGATCCCATTTGGACATTGATCTGATGGCATCGCAAGACCTATCATATTTAGAACTCAGTCAATCTGCGTTCAGGGGAGCTGACTGTGGTACTTACATCAGTATCATTACCCAGTTCCTCTCTTCCTTGTCTAACTTCATGATCATCGTTCGACTGCTGATCTTGTTGACTTCGAGGGACTCCGCTACTGTTACTGCCACGCCAACTCGCTTGATGTCTTGAAATAGAGCTTTTCACCTCCAACTTCTCTGGTCTTTGTTCCCTTCCAGCGTGTCTCTTGAAAGCATAGGACTCAAATATTCACACGCCTAATCAGATCGGCATTTTCTTGGAACATCTCAATAAGTGACCTACCGTAGTGAAGTCCCAATCCGAGTTAACCTCTTTGATCGAGATCGTTCAGTCCTTAATTGCCCTCGTATACTCTTCACAGAGCTCAGGCGGGGTTCTGTGTGCCACGATCCGTACTGAACTCATGACTGGATTCCTTTTTAATAATCTTGAGATACTTTGTTGTGATGGATTTTTTCATAAAATCATTACTGGGATTACGATTTTCCCCGAATTCCGCTGGGACAATATTCTGACGACGGCGAGGGCTCCAGAACCGCTGCTATTTAGCTGAAAATCCGTAAAGCTTATAAATTTCCTCGCCGAATTGAACGGTAAATCCCATGTGTAATAACGTTTTAGCATTTTGAAAAGGATGAAGCTCATAATTTACGGGGGTAAGAGAGAAGTTGTTTTTACAGTTGTATAGACGGGGTTCCTAAGCATTCCGCCGGAGCACTTCATCAGCATTGTACGGGCCGCCTGGGACACTTTACGTTTGTGTCAAATATTAGCAGATGAGTGAGTCCATGTTTATTGTGGTGGGAGGACGAAATCCTGTTTCTCTGAGTCGCCAATCCGATATCGCCAGCGTCTGCAAATTTGTTAAGAATTCACAGTTCTAAGATGTCGAACGTAGACTTTTTCGTAACAGTATATGTAGTTCTAATGTGATTGTAATCGGCTCCTCATCAGATCACGCAGTCAAAATGGTTTTAACTTGAAGATTGATCTTCAGCGGCCATTTCTGCGAGATTCTTGAAGATATGCAGTGTTCACTGTACACATCAATGACGCTGAACTCTCACTCACAAACTTGCACTGTCATGGATCGATCTTGTCTGTCCAGTGTAAACATTGAGACTGCTCCCTCAGATCCGAGCGCTTTCAGTATTTTCTAAATCATTTAGAAAAACTCAACTTCTCATTTCGCAGCGCTTGAGCGATGCCATTTGATGAAAAATCGAAAGTTCGATTTTTTCCCTTCAGATATAAATATTCTCAAACGAGTTACACCGTGTGTTCTCACAATTGCTCTTTCCTCCTAATTTAATAAAGCGTTTTTTAGGTTGAGCTTGCGCATAGCAAGATTGTATTGCTGTGCTTGGATATTCCTTGCCTTGAACTCCGCTTATTTTGTGTTTTGCAACATATTTACGCTCCCAAAAGCGCCATTCTCATAAAAGTGATAAGCGCAAAGAACTAAAAGCAGGCGTTTTTTTCAAACCTCGGCGGCTTCGTACCTCTACTACCAGATTGAATGCGTGTAAAATTTTTCTATGACATTTTGAAGAGATTTTTTGTATCATAGCGGACCGTTCTATTTCGTTTTTGATGCACTTTTGAAGGATTATGTTTGTTTTCTTCTGAAAAGATCTGAACAACCTTGAACCACAAAAAGACCCTTTTCCCCTCACTTCTTACATGCATGTCTATAGATGGACGAGAGCACTGGAGTACGTAGGCTGCCTTTTATATTTCGGGATTTGAGAACAGGAACAAATACTATTTATTGAAAATCGCTTGACTGCCTTTCAAAATTCTCCACATTAAGATCTATACACTTTTGTATGGGCTCGAACCAATTTTCGAAGCACTTTTGCCACTCTGATGTAGGTNTGGTGAAACTGGATCAAATGTATAAATAATCCAAGTAGTATCACACATTTGAGGCAAATATTAGCCACCAAATTTGGAACTTCTATGCGGATCCGCTTTTCTGGTTCCTTGGACT